CCCCAAAACCCCAAAACCCCAAAACCCCAAGATCGCAAATATTTTCTAAATCACAATAGATAAAATAATCATTACTATTTTTACATATCATAATATCTCATATATTTAGGCTAGTATGGCTTAATCTCTTACAATTTAGCCTTAGGAGGTTCTTTGGATTAAACTTATTATTTACCTTTATATTACTTAAACTTACTTTAATTCTTTCTCCACTCGTAATTATTTTTATGTTTATTATTTTAGGTTCTATCTTTGGAATCATAATTATTAGATTTATTTGATGAGGAAGTAGAAAGGACTGCCCCTTGATTATTCTGGTTATTTGTAGTTTAAGCAGTAGATCCATTTTTATCTTTAATAGCCTGTAGTTATTGGATAATAGCCTAATTGTTTGAATCTATGAGATCCTTTGGAATTGATTTCTGTATCAATTCCTTTTCTAGTAACTCATAGCAAGTTTAAATATATTAGAACTATAATAATTCATAAATTATTTGATAATTACTTTTAATAAAGCCTAGTTACTTGTTGTAAGCTGATCTGTCAAATTTAGCTTTAACTTAAAGCCATTTTAATGAAACATAAATCTTCGCATGTTCTTTAAGTGATATGTGCTGCTCCAATGTCTCATGATATCGCTGTATTAAAATGAGACTTTATGAATTAATATTCATTATGGGTTAGCATAATATACTTACTTATTTTCAAGTTTGAGATCATAGTCTTTGGGGAAATTGCAATATCTACACCATTGCATATATTTTGATTGTAGATTCTAGATTTGAAACAGTGCCTTAGTCCCTGCTTTTTCATCGTATTTTTTAATTAAATTTTGACTTATAACTAAGCCTTCAGAATTCTTTTAGGTTGCTAGTTCATAGTCATTTTTAACAGATAGATATAGTTAGTCTATGTAAGCAGTCATCTACTTTAGTTTATCAGAATCTTTTTAAATGACGAGAGAGAGTCGATTAAGATGGTTGTTAGAATGAAGATGAACTTTTTTCTCTTTTTCCTTAAAATGAATCTTGCATAAACTGCACTCGAATTGATCTGTCATTTAATTTTTATAATTATAATTAACTATGATCAATTTTATCTCTGATTCTTGCTAAGGGGTTTTGGGGTTTTGGGGTTTTGGGG